TTTCAAAGGGCGAATCGCACATGTGCGGGAATGAGTGTAAATATATGTTCACAGACTGAAAACTACGCACGTAAGAAAATGTTCAGATTCAGCGCCTGTAAATCGGATATATTCACAGATTCAATGTATGTGCCACAGGTGAGCATCTAGTGGTCATTTCAAAAGGTTGCTTTCCTTTCCGGGTCTACAAATCGCCTACGAGCTTATATTCTGTGACAGGGACGCTTGCCTTGACATTTACGTTTCCTTACAATATAAACTTCGTAGTTTGTTGCCATTTAGTTTGATGCTAGTGCCGAGAGCAGTCAGCACTTAACTATGTTATGAAATCGGAACGAAAAGTAAAGTCATTTTGATTAAACGCTATTGATTCTCGTTTTCGTGCCGTTTAACCATTAATGCGCAGTGGATCTGCATTTCTGTGCTGTTGATTTCCAATATTATGACAGCCGCTTTCTGACACGAGGACCACGCAAGGTTTTCGTTTTATTAAAGCAACGATTTACTTTCCACAACCGCCTTCCCCACTGAATAACCTTTTTATCGCTCCCCTTCCGGTCCCCCACCGATCTTTTTAACAGCAATAAAGTAATACTGAGGAAAGTTCTCTACATTAATAATAATAATAATTGTTCAGTTCATTTACATAAATGTTTCACAGCAAAGATACCAAGTAAGGCGGCAGAGGCGCTGGTGCTGGTGAAGATGATGATGATGATGATGATTGTGGTGGTGGTGACATAAGGCCTGAAAGCCGGAATAATCCATGGCCAGACAACGGCTCACTAACACACGTTTCCGTGACAACAAACCGGAAAGACCATTTGCTAGGCAGCGGCTCGGTAAACACCGCCTAAAAGCCGGAATAGTGATGCCAGGCACGGAATTATCCGTTTGATAGGCAACGGTTCATACACAATTCCGAGACAACGCATTGATGAAAAGCAGTAGTGGAACCCTTGGAATCGGTGATCTCTGGTCGATTCTCTGGCAGTTATAAAAGGGAGTTCATTCGTGAATTCAAGAGACCCTCGTGTTGAGGCGGGGTCGAATACTTCCACCGTGACCTTGCGAGTGTTAGGAGGAGATAGTAAAATATGGTCATGGTCGCGAGTCCCAAGGGACTCTCGACCCAACAATTACTGCGCTGGAAGGGCCAGCAACATGTACAAGAGACAGACCCGTCCTCTCGTCAGAGAGGGCGCCCCACAAAACAAGACCGTAACTGTCATACAGTAGTAAATATCTGATGATGAGCCCCATGGTGCTCAACATTAAGACTTACTGAACTGACCGACCTTCAGCTGCAATGTGACTTTCACTTCGAATTCAAGACATTCGTCAGACAGACAGGAGTGCTGGATGGTCGAGTTTCGACTCCCGGTCAGGACAAGAAATATATATCTAGTCTACAGCATCCAGACCGGCTCTGGGGACCACAGAGCTTGCTATCCAGTGGGTACGGGGGAATCTTTCCCTGAGGGTAAAACGGCCGGAGCGTGAAGATGACCGACCACTCACCTCCATCTAGTGCCAAGGTCAAGATTGGTGGAGCTACTCCTATACCTGCACTCCCCTTATGTTGTCATGGCATAGTTCTTAATTAAGTACAGGAACAACTTTACCTTTTACCTTTTTATTTAACTATAGACAACCTAAAACAACTACTATTAGAGGAATGTACTTCTTACAACTAGAACACCGCATGCTAAAGAGAACTTGTATAGTTAAACTTTCGAAAGAATGGTATTTCTGTCTGACAACGCACTGTCAAAATTCTGCCCAAAAGCAAACAGCAGCAAATTTAGTCACATCAGTAATGCACATCAGAAGAACCATTAACATCTGTGACAGTCAGCATGAAAACTGATGACATACATTCACTTCTTTTGCAAACATGACATAAATATCTTGTTGATGTGGGCTGACCAGTACTTAAAAACTGCAATGCCACTCAGATTTTGAAACAACTTCGAACTTGCACGTATTCTGGCGGAAACTTTGAAGATTAGTATAAGCAGTGAGTACTGAAATTCTGTTCCGAACTGCTAAGTTCATTCCCACTCCCCAAACTAGGTGGCACATATAGAATTATCAGTAATGTTTGTGAATTTTTACGAGCAGTCACACACCCCTTTGAGCTAACTGACCACTAGTTCACAAAACATTGAGGGTTCTGACCCACATGCTTATTGATTTGCTGACACCACAGCTTTTTGAGATAATGAAGTCACTGCTCAACAGAATTACATTTATTTAATCCACAAAATTAAACAAATACTGGATAATGGAGCCTGGGGTGTTTGCCCTGATTTTCCATCCCCTAGAAATGGTCCTGCTTCCGATTTGCTTACCGGTTAAAGATGCCACATGAAGAATTACTGTAGGCTGTGGGCCCCAGGCTCGGTAGCCTTGTGTGTGTGTGTGTGTGTGTGTGTGTGTGTATATATATATTTCTCCCCCCCCCATAATGGCAGATGCAGTATTCGCCCTCTAGGGAATGATACAGTATCCATGATGGAGAGTTATTAGTAAAAGAAAATATCTACCACTCTTACAGCCATACAGTTCAGAAGCAATTATCATATTACTTATGCAGTTATATACATACATGTTTGTGCAGAGACTTGAGGTGTACGAATTGAGTACAGCTGGCGATTAATAGTAGGAGCTGGCCTTGGAGTTGGTCTGGAAGATAACTGGACACATACAATAGAGAAACCAGTTTGCTAAGTATGTGACAAGATCGTGTAAAGCAAAGTTTTGGAATATCTAGCACAATGATAAGAGTAAAATGAAAATTAGCAAAATACAACACTTTTTTGAACCATAGCCTTCCTTAGAAGATTTTACCAGATTTGATCTGGGTTTCACTTCTTTGGATTTTGGAACAGTAATATTTTTCACAGAGCAAGTTCACTAGCCTTGCATCCAACACCCAACCTGGAGGATCACGTTGCCCCAGTGACAGGATGGCCCACTTATAGCCTCAGGCACCAGGTTCCCTTTTCATCGCCTTCTTACTTGCAGGGCTACACTGGAGGTATTCCAACCCACCTGCACACAGGAAGAGAATAAAGTAACTCTTTTAAATAATCCCCTCACTTGATAATCATAAGCTTGAAGAAAGCAGTCTTCTGGGATTTGGCACCGTGTATATGTGGTGTTAACCGACGTTTCGGAGGAAC